CTTGAACCTACTGTGACCCTGCCTCACCTCCTGACATTCTCTGGTAAGGGCTGCTTCATGGCTCAGACTGAGAGCAAATGCATGGTTCCTTCAGCCATGAATCCAATCCACCTAAGGACAGCATCCTTCCTGCCTCCCTCATTCAACAGATGCTGACAAACACCAGAGTGAACTGGATGCTGCTGTGGGTACCAGGCACAGACTGGACCCCAGAGCTCATGGAGTTGAATATTCTGGGCTCATATCAGGACCGGGAAGGGCTCTTGGTGAACCTTCAACAGACCTCATTGGTAAGGTATCCTGAAGCAAATGACAAGGTAGAGTGAGACCCCAAACTCCAGACAGAGGTGAAATTTGAAATTATGGACTGGGGATACCCCAAACTGCGTGACAAATCATTTGTCACACCGTAACGTTCACTCTGGCTCCTGAGCCTTAAGCCACCAAGGGCCAACAACTCCACATGTCATATTTGAATCCAGGATTCACAGTTGTCTGATGCCTTTGGCATTTGCCAAGCCACTAGCTAAAGAGTAAGCAGCCTGGCAGCCAGTTCCCTTGGGTCTAATAAGTCCAAGGGCTTCCAAGAACCTCCACATCACCCAAGTTCGTGTGGACAGTTTCGGTGACCTGAGTGCCACACTCTCCAGTCAACTCTGGGAAGCTGCATGTATTCGCTGCCTCTCTCTCCACATTTCTGTTTTAGAACTGTCCCTAGGTCTAGTGAACCCGTCAGTGCATCAAGAGTGTGGCGGATCATTTTTCCAAGACAGCCTACAACAGTCCCTCCCACTCTACCTGCTTTTTTATTTTACTTTTGTTTTGTTTTTGTTTTTGAGACAGAGTTTCTCTGTGTAACAGCCCTGGCTGTCTTAGAACTCAATTTTTAGACCAGGCTGGCCTCTCTAACTCAGAGATCTGCCTGCCTCTACCTCTTAAGTTCTGGGATTAAAGGTGCCGCCACCACTGGTGAAAGGGAGTAACGCTCCAGCCCCTGGGGTGGGGTGGAAGCTTGTCCTCATGGTGGATGTGAGGATGTGAGGTGGTCATCAAAGGCGCTGAAACCTCCTTCTGGTTCTCTCAGATCCACCTGGAATCCGGTGCTGAGCAGTGAGGAAGCCCGGCCACGTGGGGAAGCAAACTGAGAATCTCCACCCACCAATCCAATGGACAACCAGGCCACAGGCAGACATTAGGTGGATTCCAGTCCCTTGTCGCTTACCCTGCAAGTCTTCCCAGCTGACAGACACACCACCCTATCTGTTCCTAAATCCCTGAAGCAGGAGCCTAACGATCTATCAGTCAGGTTGTTCAACCCCAAGTTAGGGGTGGGTTCTTCCCCAGCAGCAGAGCAGGGAGCAGAAGCAAACAAGAAAGCCTGCAGTCTTTGCACATCCGTTCTCTGGTTCTAGGAGGCATCTGGAAGCTTCTAAGAGGTCCTGGCGGGTCCCAAGCTCACCACCTAGAGCAGCCATCTGAATTCCACTCCCTCGTTGAGTTTCCCCTTCCCTGACTTGTGTGTCCTGCTCCTTCCCAGCTGTACCTTGGGACACCCTCCAAATGTCTACACACAGGTCCTTGTTATTGCTCTGCTTTCTGAAGAAGCCGGCTAAAACTGGTTCCCGATTACATCACAAGGCAAAAGGTTTTATCTCCATCTCCATTTTTCAGATAGGGAGAGTGACACTGTGACAGCCCAGGAAAGTGACAACACGGTTAACACCCACATAGACAGCAGGGACAGGGATGGATGAGGAGCCAGGCCTCTGGCTTGACTCAGCTGAGGACAGGCAGACAAGGGAAGCCCTGCCAGCATGGAGACGCAGAGGATGTCTGGGACTTCTTGTATAGTACCTGGCTATGGGGAAGCATCTAAGGAAAAGCGAGTAATAGAGCCATGAACCAACACTGTGCCCCAGAAGTCCGTGACGGCGCCCAGCCACATGCCAGGAAGGTTCCCACTCCCCCATCATCTGGCTTAGTAACCACCCTCTTTGCCACATCAACTGTTAGTAAATTTAGAACTGACAGCTTAAAACAGCATCAAAGACTTCAGTGATAAAGATGTTCTTTCAACACATTTCTAGAAAATGTGTTTATAAAGCACTCAGGGACTGGCGTATCTATCATTCCACACACTTCAATCTGGCAAATTATTCCTATCCACAGATGAGGACACAAAGACACAGGGTGAGCAGGCACTTGCCCCGGGGCAGGTAGCTTATACATGGCAGAGGAGGCGGAGGCTGTTGAAGCGGTGGAGACGGTAAGCAGAGAGCAATCAGATGTTTCCTTGAGAGTGGCTGCAGCACTTAATAGTTTACACAGCTTAGCTGGCTAGGCTGGAACAAAAGTCACAGAACACAGAACAGGGGGCAGGCAGGGGACTCAAGCTCAAGTCCTTACTCGGTGCCATGGGTCAGGGTAAGGCAGGTTATGGAGATCAACAGGGGAGTTTCTTGGCTAGCAAGATGGCATTGTGAGTAAAGGCACCTGCTGCCAAGCTCCTGGGTTCAAGCCCAAGACCGCACAGTAGAAGGAGAAAGCAAACTTCTGAAAGTCGTCCTCTGACGTTCCAGCGCACCCACCCAAACACAAAGTAAACGAGGACAATTGTAGTTTTAAAATGTTTAAAAATTGTGCAGCTCCCCAAATCTGTCAGTTTACAGCCCTAACAAATTCAATATGTCCATTCTACAGGGAAGGTGAGACCCGGGGGTGTAGAACTTGCCCACTGTTAGGTGGGGAACAGAACCAGGACTCTCCTCTCTGCATTACAGATGCACAGTGGAACCGAGAGCCACTCCTGGGAAGGGGCAGGTGGGGAAGATCTGCATGTGAAGCCCCAGGCAGGGCCAGGGGGGGGCCTTCTGGCTGAAGGAGCTTCCAGGTTAGGGTTTCACTGGGATAGAGGCTGCTTCTGAAGGGAAAGCTTTCAGTGTGCTACCAGGAAGCTGTCATCCCATTGAGACTTCTGCCCAATGCCACCGCCTTTTTGGCCTCCATGAGGGCGCTCTCTAGGTGAGAGGATCCCCAGGAGGATAAGACCGCTTGCTTTCTTGCTGCAGGTCTCTCTGGCCATCCCTCTCTGCTGGCTGCTCTTAGCATCAGGTTAGTCCAGGGAGAGGCTGCAGTGGCGGTTGGGGAAGGGGTGAGGCCCAGAAGGACACATTAAAGCCACTGAACCACACAGACGCTTCTCTGCCTTCCAGCTAGTTCTGCCTGCCCACCCCAACCTATCTATGAATAGCCAGAGCATTAGTGTCTTCGTTACCCAGCATTCTCTCTAAAATCACTGGATAGCCAAACTTGCCTCGGGGTTGTCCCTGGAGGCTCAGACCAGGTGGGAGCTCTGGGTTATCTTTCTCTCTGGACCTACGTCACCTAAGCTAGCATCTAACATACAGGAGGCAACCGGCCTATTCCTCAAACTAATCTCCCTCCTGGCACCAGTCGCCCTACCACCTCAAAGGCAGCTTTCCTGGGGCAGGATCTGCCAGGTGTGACTGTTGGGCCTGTTCACCTTCACCTTATTTTCAAGACCAGGACACTATTCCAACAGTGCTCAGGAGGAGACCATCCTGGCCATAAACAAGGTCCCACAAAGAGCTGGGTGTCACAGTCAGGCCATGGTGGTGTGGAAATCACCCTTTCTGACTGCTTTCCATCCCAGGCCTCAAATGCAGGGCAATAGGTGGGTATCCTTCAGGCGACTTCCTGGTACTTAGACCAGGTCCCCCACCCGATTTGACCTTCAACCTGCATAGAATCCTCTGGTCTCATGAACTCCCGAGCTCTCCGAGGAACCTCATCTTCTCCAGACAACAGGCATGTGAGGCAAATCCAGCCTACACACTAGAGTTATCACGATCACAACAAAATAAGGACAACACACCCACTCCTTCCATTGGCAAAAAAAAAAAATCTTATTTATCTTCAATTTAGAAGCTGAGGCTGGGAGAGAGAGGTCTCTGTGACTGTGAGGGAGTGGGGAGCTGACCTGGTGGGCCACTGTGCCCAGAGGAAGCACTCTGGTCCCCTGAGTATCCTCAAGACTGCCCTGTTGCCTCCTACCCCTCATCTTTGCCCACGGGCCAGTGAAACGGTGAGGCAATGGCCAAAGGGAAGCCCTACTCCTGGGCTCCTGGCCACCATCCAGGAGCAGCCTTAAGGCGATCTAAGGCCAACACCTCCCTGGGGCTGGGAACTGCCCCATCCAGGTCCTGACTTAGGCTGTGCTTGTGTCCCCCGGGATGGACACTTAAGGAACCTTCATTAGGCTGCTTCATCACTCCCTCTACACCTGGTCACACACCCCTGACGACCCTAGAGGCAACCATAGCTGGAACTGTGGAGCTGGGGCCAGTTTGCGCTCTCAAGGCCAGTGTGTCCGGTGCTGTTCTGGGGCTCAGCTTCCTGGTGGAATTAAGAGCACCTGCTGACTTCCATCTCAGTCGGTGCTGAGGGGACCGCGAGAAAGGCTGGAGCAATTCAAGTCATGGGCATTCTCCCTAGGCAACTCTTCCTTCTGCCTCCCATGAAGCTTTTCTGTCTGTCTTCTAATCTCTTCCCAAGAGTAACTACAGACCTTAGGAAACTTCGCGGGAAACTTCCAACTGCTGTGAACTCCAATGAAACCAGCTACTCCATCGGAGCCGGGAGTGCAGTGGCCAGCCAGGCTCGACTCCTGCAGTGTCCTGGGGTAGAGGGTGCCCAGTGGCTGATAGGCAACCAGAGCCCACCGTGCCCCACACAGGCTTTCGTTTTGGGGCCGCTCGTGCAGCAGTCACCCGATGTGCACTGCTAACCCGGACCAGGATGTCCAGGACTCGGAGGAGCGTTAAAAGAGTTTCCTTCGCGGAATTGTCCCCCGCGCCACCCCCCAAACCCCGAGCATCTCCCAGGAGCTGAATGGTCCGCCTTGCCCACCGCTCATTTGCATTTCAAAGGCAAACTTTTGCCCGACTTGCCGGGAGACAAGGGACAGCGGTGGTACCTACCGGCTTTGCAGGGGTCGTGATAATGCAGCTGTTGCTCCGTACCCTCCTCACCTTCCAAAGCCCAGTAGTCCAAGGCAACATCCGACTTGTCCCCAAGCACCCCAGTATCGCAGGGGAGCGGCAGCAGCAGTGGCAGCAGCAATAGCACCAGGGTGCCAAGCGCAGCCTCCTGGGGCATAGTGGCAAGGGGTCTGCGGGCACTCAGAGACTTAACGTGCACAGATCCAGCGAAACACCCCGCACAGGGTCAGATGTGGTGGTTGCTGCTCGGCTGCCAGTTACCGGTAGGGTATGGAACAAGCCCAGTAAGGCGTTCCCGACCCGGAAAGCCGCTGCTCAGCACGACCTGCCCAGTGGCCGAGTCTGCGGCCGGTCGCTACGACTGTGTTGGCGGCGGCGGTAGTAGGAATAGTGGCCGCTCCGCCCCTCTCTACCAGGGCTGGACCGCACGCCCTCTCCAAGGGCCCCGGACAGCCAATCACTTAGGCGTCCTAGGCGAGGCCCCTCCTCTTCCCTGCACCTCGGTAACTTCGGAGGAACCCAAGCAAAGCAAAGATGCTGACGGATAGACAAGTGCCGGGTTCCTGGGGCGCACCCACCAGGTCGAATGCACCCTTGTACTGACGCAGTACAACACTGCTTCTCAAGACGGAGTCTGGGGTTCGTGTCTTACCATTTTCTGTTAACTCATTTCACAACTCCAGGATATACACACTGCAAGACACAGGGAGACCAGCAGCCTAGTGTGAGCGGTCCTGTCCACCTAGCTGTCAACTGCGCGTTTTAGGACATTCGCTTCTCTGCAGGGTGCAGTAGGAGTCTCTCAACAGCCCTGGTCCCGCCAGCACCCACCAAATCTAAAGTCGTGGCTGGTGACACATAAGAAAGAGGACACATGTGTAAGAGGACAGACTTGCCTCTGGATGACCTCATCCTTCAGGAAAACAGTCCGGGATGGTTTTGGTAGTCAAAAGCTCACAAACGAAGAGCCCTGCGTTATTTACAATTGCAGTCATACCAAGCAAGTCTTGCCATTAATCTGATAAAATAGAAATAAGAGATTCTTCAAATCTGGTTATTTTCTGCCAGTAAAAAATACTCACCCAAACTAGGGGGGATAACCAGACGCTATTTGAAACTCACTTCTGTGATGTACCTTCAAGGTAAAAATTGTTAAGAACTGATCTACATTGACATACATCATTACTGCAAGAATTTTCAAAAATCCTTTTATACAAGCAAATTGCCCTAACCAAGCAATAAAGCACATCAGTGTGCTGTGCAGATTTTTTAAGTGCACCACATCCAGACATCCAGATTCTTTTTTTTTTTTAATTTAACTGCAAGAAGAAAGACGGAGCCAGGTGGTGGTAGCAAACACCTTTAATCCCAGCACTCAGGAGGCAGAGGCAGGTGGATCTCTATGAGTCTGAGACCAGCCTGGTCTACAAGAGCTAGTTGCAGGACAGGCCTCCAAAGATACACAGGGAAGCCCTGTCTTGAAAAACAAGACAAAAGAAGACAGACAGACTGTGCTTCTCTTTGGGGTTTGTTACCACAAGGTTTCATAGCTGCTAAATGACAAAGCAGTTAACAGGTCCAAAGCTGGGCTTTACATCAGACTCCAAATTTCCACCATTATGATCATCTATCATCTGTCTAATCCATTAAGTAGAATAACAATTCTTTCAAACCAGGAAAGGTAGCAATTAGCCATCAGAAAAATGCTGCTTGAAGTATTTTTATTTTGTCCTGGTTCTCACAAAGAGATTGAGGGTTTACCCTGCCTGAAGCTGTCATCAAATGAGCTCACAGAAGTTGGAGCCAGGTTAAGCAAGATCTGTTAGGAATTGGCAGGTTAGAGGGGACTTGGGAATAGCTAGCACCAGATGGCAAGGAAGGCCAAGTGGTCACTGAAACTGACCATAGGTGTAGGAGGTTGGAGGGCATTTCTGCCTGACTGCTGGAAGGAGTCAAACCCAACGCCACGGTTTTCTATATGCACCCCAGTGAAGGTCACCACCTGTCAGTAGACAAGTCCACAAAGTCAACATCTAAAGGACTAACAAACTTCTGTGACATTTCCAGGCTTCCAGATGGCCCTACGAAAACAGCCAATTGGCTTCCTCATTAAGAGAGAATTCTGGAAAACAGACATTAGAGGCTGGTCTTTGGCATGCCCAGAACTTAAGAGCTTTTATTGCCTCTAATCAGCACCTGGTGGGTTAGCTGCCAGTCCTTTCATCAATACACTTTAGCCAAATATTTTGAAGACTTGTGATCCTAGATAAGCAAGCTGCACAGCTTTGTGGCAGGTTTGTTTGGCTACCAATAGGCTAAGCTGCAAGTGTTTGGATTGTAAGATCAGATGGGAATGACTGAAGAGGAATGTTCAGTACTTTTCTCATTACCTATACAGCTCTTGATCATACACATTAGTTCCATAGCAAGCTAATTTGAGTTTAATTTTTCCTCTTTTTTTTTAGAGACGGGATTTCTCTATGTAGCTCTGGCTACATAGATTGGGCTTGCCTCAAATGCAGAGATCCTCCTGCCTCTGCCTCTCAAGGGCTGGGATTAAAGACATGCACCATCACATCTAATTTCCTCTTTTAAAACAGGCTATTGATATTTAGCCCAAGGTGGTCTCAAACTTGTGGTAATCCTCCTGCCTCAGCTTGTAAGTGATGGGATTAAAGGCTTGTAGCATCATGTTCTGCTCAAATAAACTTAAAAGCATTTTTAGTAATCTAAATCTAAGGTTGGAGAGATGGCCCATCAGTTAAGAGCACTGGCTGCTCTTCCAGAGGGCTTTGGTTTAATGTCCAGCTCCTAAGTGGTGTCTCACTACCTTTTGGCCTCCTTGGGCACTCGGCACACACAAATGATGCACAGGCATACATGCAGCACAACACTTGTACACACAAAAGAAAAACCTGAATCTCATGAAAACAAGGAAGTCAATTTAGAACAGGCACCACGACCTAACTGTTCAACTTAGTTCTATTTTCTGTGTTTATGTGTCACCCCTTCAGTACCTTTGGTCCAGCGGAAAACCTCTAAGTTGCCTTTTCCTTTGACCTGCCCAGTTTGTCACATCCACACTCCTTTGCCCAAATGCATCAGAATACTGTGCAGCTGCTCAGAGCCCTTCAATCCACTTCTAACCTCCTTTACTTCCCCTGCCCCTCCCCCAGGCCAATTCCCTATTCCCATCCTTCCCTTCAGCACAGATGGTACACCTCAGAACATAGATACTCCTCTGGCTCATCCCTTCCTTTACACCACTGAGGTGATATACTGAGTTCTTTGAAGGTAAATGACTTTTACAATTGCCATGCTCTTTAAGACTATTTTGTCCAAAGTGGCATCGTAGGCTCTCTATCACATTTCTTTAGCATCATACATGTATCATGAATTCTTACCACCTCCCAAGTCCTACTCTTGCTGCTTTCAACATCCACAATCACACTAACTGCGTCTTGTCTCTTCCTGGAATACTTGAGTGGTCACAGACTCCATCCTCAGGCCAGCATCCATAATCACATCTGAGGTGCTTAAGCTGTTCAGATCTTCCCTACTGATGCTGACTTCAGTTGACTGACTAAACTAACCCCAACCTAAGTCACTTGTATCTCTGTAAACTTTCCTCTCTCTGAACTTTATGGTTAGTCCTGGTGTAATGACTTAGACTGAGCCACTGTAAGTTAGCAAAAATCAGCCAGTTTAACAATATATATGTTTGGAAATCCTATTCACATTTAGCAAACTTTGACAGCGAAAATCATTTAAAACAAGTATTTCAAGAAATCTATAGACCCTACTTAACTGAATATAGGCCTGTTTGTTATAAATTTATGCTGAGTAGTTCCCTTTCCTCTGAAATCAAGAAGCTGGGTATGTAGCAGCAGACTTCCTTCTATGGTATAGAATCTATACCTAGTTTTCCAACCAGACAAGAAATGATTAGAAGTCACCCAAATCTGCATTAATCAAACTATATGTTTAACGGGAATTCCCATGTATAAGTGTTGAGCAAGGAAACTAATTAGAGAAAAAGAGGTGGACAAGGATCTTAAAAACTAGTTAAAAGGGTGATGAAAACCAAGAAGCTCCAATAGGACTGGAGAAATTAACCACATTTTACCATAGCACAGCCATCTGTCCCCTCCATCTGTATGTTGCTGCTCTGCAGGCTGGAGAGATGACACCTGCACTTTATAATGACAATGAAGATGACCAAGCACTAATTCTGTTACTTCCAGACTTAGGGAGCCCCTTTAGCTGTCTTAGTGTCTTACCTACACTACTAGCTTCACAGGATAGTTGAGTGGACCCGTGTAAAATTTCCTAGAAAAAGCAACCAACTCTAGACAAAGCCAGTGCGTTGTCAATCACAGGACTGGCAGGTGTGGTGGAGAAGGGGTGCTGCTGATGGAATGCTGACAGTGGTTCAAAGCTTACCTTTAAAGAACTGCGAAAAGATACAACAGCTTCTAAAAGAAATTTTATTCATTATACCATTCCTTCCACTTGCAGTAAAATGTGTTTTTTTTGTTTTTTGGTTTTTTTCGAGACAGGGTTTCTCCTTATTGTTTTGGAGGCTGTCCTGGAACTCGCTCTGTAGACCAGGCTGGCCTTGAACTCACAGAGATCGCCTGCCTCTGCCTCCCGAGTGCTGGGATTAAAAGCATGCGCCACCAATGCCCGGCCCAGTACAATTTTTTTGTTTGTTTATTTTTTTCCCCTTCAAAACACAGATGAGGCAGGTGTGAAAATTAAACCTGAAATGTTAAACCTTTCATTTCAGGAGTCAGCAATCTTGGGCCTGGTGGCTACTTCTGCAGTTGTATCACAACACAGCCATGTTCTACAGCTGTCTGTATTGCTCTGTAATGCCAGAGTTGTCACAGAGTGTATGGGTGTTCAACAGAAACTCATGCACTATCTGACCCTAAACAACTGCTGAGCCCTAAGGTACCTAACTGGGATGAATTCAGTCAGTCATCTCTTGGCAGGCAGGCTGATGATGACAAGTTATATGCCTCAAACTTTGGTTCACCTGTTTCAAAAAAGAAAGCAAGCAAGCATCCAAGGAAAGTACATTTAAATATTTATTACTTTAAAAAAAATCCAACTTCAGGTAAATTAACAGACTAGATTAGAGACTCAATTGTA